CTCACACAGCTGTTCCGGCACACGTCCCATGGTCTGTTTCAACAGACCCACCTTCCGAGGCGGAAATCCCTAAGGATCCAAATCTTGGGACGTCACAAAACGCAGGGTTCCGATGGCCTTCCCCCAGCTCTATTTAAAGATAGTGGAATAAAGCTTGTTAGAGAACTCCACGTCCTGTTATCTAAAGTTTGGAACACTGAGCAGGTCCGATCCTTGTGGGGGGAGTTGAGTGTTGTCCCCATCTTTAAAAAAGGTCCGCGCAATGATTGAGCCAATCATAGAGTTATAAGCCTGATCCCAATAGCGTCAAAACTGTTAGCGTCCGTCATTCTTCGTAGATTGTACAAAACGCGCGAGGANAATGGAGTACCTGAGAAGTATGTGTCGATCCTCAAAGAGTTGTATCGCCATACCACAGGTCGGGTTAGGGCTTATGGCCAGCTTTCACCACCTTTCGCTGTTTCCAGTGGAGTTCGACAAGGCTGCTCTACATCCCCTTTCCTTTTCAACTTCGCCATAGAGGATGTTCTGTGGGACGCTTTGTCCGGTCTAGCAGACGGGGGAGTCAAACCTCTCCCACGAATTTGGACCATGAATGCTTACTTACCAAAGAGAATTTCATGTCTAGTTTACACAGCTTGAACATTTGTAGACCGCTTTCGGTTACCACATTTGATTTGGGAGAACAGTAAGAAAGGACTCACTGGAGGGAGAAGCCGAGAGTAGTATCAAAATAATGATATATAATGCAGATGAATCAAATGTATTAAGAAGCTGCACAAGCCACACTGCTCATGGTAACCAGTCATGTCCCGCACTCTAACAAATAAATCAGAATGGTTACTTAATCTTCATTCGAGAGTAGAGGGCAGTTTAATAAAGAATACGGAAATCCCCCCTCACAAATGCGAAATCTAACTGTTAAGAAGCGAAATAATTAAGGAATAGAAACAGAGAAAAGTGGGGAAATGCGTTAAATGCAGACAATTGGAGATAATAGGTGCAAGCAAGCATCACAAGGATCTGATAAGAAAGAATCAAGCGATTCTGTGTTCTGCATTTCCAACCCATAAACGCGTTTATCTAATTCGACTTCATGCGATCGGGAAAAGAGAATCACCAACTTACGCAACCATTTCATCAGAATTGGACCAAGCTCCACAGTCTGCAACAATTGCTGGGTAAATGCATCGTACAGACGAATTGATGGAGCTTTCCGAACTGCAACCCAAACACCGTCAGTGGACCAACACATGCTCTGAATTTGTGCATCTCGACGTGAATTCACTTCGATACTGAAAAAAATAAACGAGCAACAAATAGAACAGAAGGAAAGATAGACAGAGCACGGTATGCAGTGATTGAGGAGCTAGAAAAAAACTGTTTTATGTGATGGAATGCGCGAAGGTGCTATCAGAAACTACATTATTACCTCAGAAAAAGATCTACAATTATAATTGATCGAGAATAATTAATAAATGTAGGATCAAAGTAAGCTGACCCATTGACGCAGCACAACAATGGAGCTCGAATGAAAGGATATGGGACAAACGATGACCCCCCCCCNCCCCCCCCCCACCCTCCTCATGGAACTTTACACGCGAAAATTCGAGAGGGAAAATGGACAGTACATAACCCTTGTTGACGAACACAAATAACACCAACTGTGACCATTACCATTACTTGATGGAGGTGATTGATGGGTAAACCAGTAGTAGGATGAAGCAGATTTCAAACGGACTCAAGGGTGACGGTTCAGAACCACACAGTTGTCGCGGAACAGGCCAGGGTTTCAAAAGGTCGGGGGAAGGCAGTCCAGTAACCAAAGGACTGAACGGAATGCACAACTATTGCCGATAAACCATGCACACCGAAACTGTATACTGATATCATTCCCTCTCTCTCACGCACACACGAGTTCACGAGCATGGCACAGCAGTGAGGGGCGGGGTTCGGGGTTACCGGAACAGATACTTACCAATTGACCAGTTGAAGGGTCAACGCATTAATCACCAATATTTTGTTCCGATACGTGGTCCATAGGGTATTCGCGGGTGGAACAATGATGGTACGTCGAACGGGTGTACGAGTATGACCGCAAGTGATCACACACGCCTCGGTGAAGTCCCATACACCAAAACGTGGGTCCAGGGAGGACAGATCCGGAGCTTGAACTGATGTGCCGGGAGAATCTGATTCACGCAAGTTGGACGAGGTGACCGCACCGTTTAGGGACAAGGCAGATAGGGAACTGGGCGAGTCACGAACTGAAGTGGGACGACGTTGAAAAACGACGATTTGCCCATTGGCCAAACTCACAAACACCCGACCATTGAAATATCTTGGGCGGAGAACGGGGGCGGTGGTGGGGGTGAATGCAAGAAATGGTAAACGACAACGCGGAATCATTGTGGCAAAACTGTTCACCAATTTAACTGGCTGGTTGAGTCCAGAAAAAGAATAAAAATGACGTACGTGGCACGGCTAAAACTCAACACTGTAGAGATCGTTATCACAACGTGAACAAATGAATTGTTTGAATCTTTATCAGGCAGCTGATCGATCAAAATAATTCTTAAATTGGGGCAAACGATATAGTGAATGATTGATTTACGTCAACGCCCTGAAATACAGTTGAATTCAACTCATATTCGGTACCGCATCAATGGGAGAACAACACGGTAATCAATTTCACTGCTTATGGCTATAAACCGTCTCATAGAAGAAACAGGTGTGATACTGTCATGACACACTAAACCAACTACAAGCCAAAGTTAACCCCTATCACCGTACAGGATGTACGCATGGTTTTAACTATGTGTGCTCTCGTTTCAGCCCACACCAATTCACAGGCATCAAGAACCGTGTATTGATTTTACCACACAGGTCTCGCTCTTCCATACCAAACCTGATTCAATTCAAACACTCAACTGGGGGCACATATCCTGTGCAATGATCGACAATACATATAATTGGGAAAACGCAACTGGCGAACACAATAATTGATAAAATTGATTCGAGTATCCATGCACTCACGTAAAATGATAGCCATAAACCACTTAGCCGAGAAGGATAGTCTTAATTCTACCAGGTTGTTGGTCGACCAGCCAATTGAAAACAACTGGATAAAGAGATTTGGGTTTCATTGAACTCTGAGCTACTGATTTGCCAACCAACTACTTAAGGTTTGAGTGGAATGTGTTGGGTGAAAAAAACAGGATGTGTCTCGTGTGTATTCAAACCGGGAAGAAGAACTAGACAGACGAGGAGGGTTTTCCAATGAGTACCTGTGACCACGATGCTTCGCTATAGCCGTACATAGTACTTCAACCAGTGTTAACTCAACTCACCCAACTGGATACGATGATAGGCACTTCCTAAACCGGTTGGCTCATGACCCATGGATGTGTGATCCGGTTTCAGGGCTCAGATATACAACCACACATACACGCACACGTTCAAGCTCTTCAGATCCGACTTGAATACTGTATCAGATGGTACAGCCACAAACAACGTTTGTCTAATTAGAATCACGTGTATTGCGCGAGGCTGAAAATACAAGTGAATGCAGTCGGTCCGAGGGTCACCGAAATCTTGTGAAAGAGCACGAGTACTGACACACGGTAAGATGTGCAAACTAAAAATGTCAGGTCAAGTTGTAACGGAGGTCATTCAGATACTGACAAACCGCATTACTAGTCCAATGACAGAGTCAATATGCAACACCATCATCTCGTCAATATATATATATATATATAATTTAACGACTGATAAAGAAATCAGGGCACACAAAAGGACCAGACGAGTTTAGTAAATATTGGCATTCAAATAATGGGCGTTCCAACAGCGGACACAAATGGCGTAGGTCAAGAGTTCCTCTCACACACTCACTGAATCTGGGAAACACTGTCCGGCAAACGGATAGCGTGTAGGCAATTGCGCCAATTGGTTTGACTTGAGTGAACAAAGAGATCACCGTTGTAACAGCCGAACCAA